TTAGAAAAACAGAAAAAGGAGACACTTTTAGAATTAGCAGACAGGCTAGAATTGGGTTTAACGAGGGATGAGAAGAAGGCTGAAATTGTAACGGAGTTAGCCAAACATTTAGGTATATCAGAGAAACAGTCAAGTGCAGTGGAGTTAGAAAAAATTAAATTGCAAATTAGATAATTGATGTTATAAAGTGAATTTAAAAGGCGGAAGTTACAGGACAAAGAAGAAGAAAAGGAATGTTGACGTTGGAAAAGATGAAGTTGGAACTTGAGCAAAAAGACTTCTAATAACAGATATAAAAGTACAAGATAGAAGTGATAATGACTAAACTCATTGTGGTCAACAGCCTGGTAGGCACATTTACAAATATGTCCAAACATTACCAAAATTTGATGAAAAAGAAGTAGAAGCCTTCCTGCTCCTCTGATGCTGCTTGGCCTGCTGTGTTCATCCAGCTCTACACCTTGTTATCTCAGATTCTCCAGCGTCTGCAGTTCCTACTATCTCAGAAGCCTTTTGAACTAGTGAAGGAAATTCCAAGAGAATTTGTGGAGCTGCAGGAGAGTGCACAGCCTAGTGGCGGGCTGGATAGTGAGGTATTGCCCGATTGTTTCAAAGCCTTCACCTGTGTGGGTAAGGTTTACTCTGGTAGAACAGGGGGAGTAGGTAAAAAGTGACTATCTCTCAATATTTTAAATCTTCACAGTAAGAGATGAAAATATTCACACTCCCTCTGAAATATTGCCTGAGAGTGTGGTAAGTTGTGGAATAAATGGAGAGAGAATTAGTGTAAGATAAGGCTAGAAAGTCCAATTAAGACAGGGAAGTGATAGTTGGAGTGATGGAAAAATTGGCTATGCCAGGAACACTTTGTTTTTGGAAGCAATATTGCTGGATCACAGATGGGAGCGATGCCCACTGTAGTGGAAAAGCCAAAAGAAAACCAGGGAACTGAGGAGGTATAAGAAAAATCCCCTGGAATTTTTCCTAGACTGTGTGGTGACAAAATCCCATAGCCATAATTTAAAATAAGAAGGGAAAACAAAAGAGGAAGATAGAGGAGTTGAGGTCCAGTTAGCTGACACTGTATTTGAGATGGAGAAAGAAAATTCCACGCAGGTGAAGGATCACACAGGTTTTTAGTTCTGAAAGATTAATGGAATTGTAACAAAAAGATGAAATGATGAAGGATTTATATTATAAAGCCTAATTGGAAAAGGAATCTGAATGTATTCCAGAATTCTGTTACCTTAAGGATAAAATCTTAAAGTGGAAATGAAAACCACGGCAGGTTAGTGCAGATAAGAAATGGGCAGAAGTTCATCAGATTGTGTCACCAGTAGAATACAGACAGGAAGTATTGCGGGTAGCACACACATTACCTGTAGGAGGTCATCTAGGAATGAAGAAAACTCAGGCTAGGAATCAGAAGTTGAAGTGATGCTCCAAGAAGACGACATAGAGTGGAGTTCACTGATTGTGTTGGTTCCCAATCCTGATGGTGCTGAATGATAATCTGTGCATAATTGGAAAGTCAATGCCGTGACCAAATCTGACTCCTATCCGATTCCAAGGCTGGAGGACTGTGGAAAAAGTAGGATAAGCCACTTATATCACAAAGTTGAACATAGTTCGCAGTCACTGGCAAGTACCTTTGTTGGAGAGAGGAAAGGAAATTTATGCTTTCGTAACCCCAGATGGGCCATATCAATTTTAAAGTAATGCTTTTTAGAATGAAAAATGCACCAGCCACTTTTCAAAGGCTTATGAACGGAGTTATGCAGGATTGACTAATTGTGCCATCTACATAGATGATTTAGTGATCTTTAGTCATTCATGGCAAAGCTCGTTGAGAGATTGAGGAAGGCAAAGTTAGTCATAAACTTGGCAAAAACAGAATTTGCGAAGGTGGAAGTGACATTCTTAGGACACAACATAGGACACCGACATGACAGAGGAACTTGAAGACGGAGGCGATTGAGAAACTTCCAAGACCATCCTTGAAGGGCTACGATTTTTAGGATTGAGCAGATTCTACAGAAAATTTGTACCAAACGTTAATAGCTTGGTGGCACCGCTGATGGATTTGTTTGAAAAAAATACGAAATTTCGGTGGACAGAAAAGTGCTAGGGAGGCATTTGAGAATTTAAAAGCCATGTTAACCACCACACCAGTTTTAGCCACACCATATTATTTTTTGAAGCCCTTCAAAGTTATCATTGACGCATGCAATGTCTGTGTTGGAGCTGTGTTGTTGCAGGAGGATGGTTGTGGAATTGAAAGGCTAATTAGTTATTTTTCAAAAAATACTCAATATCCACCAGAAAAAAATTTAACCATTTGAAAAGGGGTTGTTGAGTTTGATAGTACCCTTAAAATATTTTAATATTTACATTGCATACAGTGCATCAGATGGTTGTGTATACCGATCTCAATCCTTTGACATTTCTGGAAAGATTTAAGGGCAAGAACACCAGACTGTTGTGCTGTAGTCTCATGTTACAAGCACTTAATTGACAGATTCTAGATGTTGCGGGTCATGAAAATATTATCAGGGATGCCATCAGCTCTCGAATCGCTAGCTCTCGCAGTCTCCTAAGTCTTTGAAATCACCATCTAAAAAACAATGGACCCGCGGCACAACTAGTTAATATTCCTGACACAAGAATCAATGGAAAAAGCGTTCCTGACAGAACATTTGACGGAGAAGGCACAGAGCATTCTGGAAAACATGCAATTAGCTGTAAATTTGAGAGACTAATTTCCATGTTTTTATTTATTATATAGAAGTAGGACTCGTATTTATTGGAACAACATACCATTAGAATCTTGTTTTATTCAGGAATAGTTGGTTGTTAGAAGGGATTTATTTGGTTTGTTAATAGTTTAGTTAGTTTGTTAGTTATATAAATAAACTGTTACTTGTTGAATGTAAAGTGGTTTTATTTTGTTTAACCATGAAGTTGCTGAAAGGCAGGTTACACCACTTTTGGCACTCCTTTTACAGATTCTAGGGCGAGGTGCTCCTTTTTGGGTGTTTTGGTTTAAGTTCTGGGATGGCGGGGAGCAGTGGTTTCAACCTCCACTTTATAACACTCATTGGATATAACCTGGTGCTGTGTGACTTTTGACTTTGTCCACCCAGTCCAACACCGGCACCTCCACACTGAGGAAGGAGGAAGTAAACAACCCACACACACACCAGGCTTTGTTATCACATATATTCTGCTACTATGCACAGTCTATTGTTAACCACTACAGTCACCACTAATAGCTGTTTACCCTCCTAGCCAGATAGTTATCCACTCCTTTGTCTGCCCAGTTGCTGTTCTCTCTTTTTGGGCTCTATCCCCACCTGCCATTTACTTCTCAGCCCCTCGCCCACCCTATCTCCTGTATATAAAGCAACATTTTCCAAGCTACCATCAGTTTGGATTTCTCTCCACAGATGCTGCCAGACTTGAGCTTTTCTGCAATTTCTGTTAATATTTTTCAGCTTTATCATAAAATACTGGCAAGAAATATACACTTGTCCAATAAGTCTCTTGTGGCCTTACCAGGGAAATTAGAAGTGCATTCCTTCATGTCATATATTTATAATCCATTTATTGCCTCCATGGCTTGTTCTTCATTACATTTAGCATTGCCGTTGACGTTGAAACTGAGGGGGTAAGGACTAAGGGGAATGTGCTGTACCTTAATTCCTGAATGTTATAATTGAAAATGTTTGCACATTTACTGGTGTATCTATGTGCAGCTGTATTTTAGTGCTTTTGATTCCAGACTGAATGCATATTACAATGCTCCAGCAATGTGACCTGATTCAGAAAATGCTATCCTAGTAACTTGTATAGAATTTACTACCTTTCCAACCTCAACCTTCCTCCTACATATTCTTGCTATCAAACAGCAATGGAAATGTGGCAAAGATATTGATGATAATTGCCAGAAATCCAATGACGTTGTACATTGAACCAAGCCCAAATAGTCTATAGGTGAAATGGGGCTAGAGCCATAGAACTCAGAAGATGCCCTTTGGCCCACTAAGTCTGCACTGATATCAAGAAATGGTTGGAGGCAGTAGAGATTGGATTATTGGTGGAGGCTTGAAGCTAAATTGAAGCAGGCTATAAAGTGTAATTCAGGCCCTATTTTAATATCACATTGTCACTTAATACTTTCATTTGCAAATATAATTAAATGATCAAAATGGTGATACACTTCATCCTCCTTATCCGTGGGGTGTAGGTGCCAAGACTTCCTGTGGATAACAGAATCACAGATACTGCTCCTTCTATAATGCTCCCATGTATCGTAAAAGACCACACAATCAGACTGGGTGAGTCAATTAGAAAAGAAGTATCTGGATTGACCTGGCAAGTATGTGGATTGGCAAGTATCGTATTAGTGGATAACAAGGCTGAAGTGTATTGGAAGCAGTAGAATTAGTTAGTGCCCACATCTTTGCAATGCATGCTGAGGAGCTGGGACTTCTAAAGCATTCTTGGCATTGGTGACAGGAAGATGTAATTAGTGAGGAATTTCACGTGTGCAGTTGTTACAGATGTTACATGGGAACTTATAATGGTAAATTCGATAAGAGTCTCAGTGATCTTTATAGACAGGCATTGCATACAGATATAATGTTTCAATATATATCAGTAGTTACCTCCCTTTTTAAAAATGGATAGGCATTTTGCAACAATTCATTAGACTGCAACTTTTAAAAGCAGTAAACTGTGGCATTTCAGGATTTTTAACTGGCATTCCTCCCTCGATGCGGTAATAGGATGTTTTGTGTAACCTGTATAATGTTCTTCTGTGTTTTACCTTGTGCAGTAAGGTGCTGAATAGTTGATGTGTATTGATGCTTTTTTGCCTGTCATTAAACCCCTATTATTAATTGTAAATTCAGTATACTGAAAGATTAGATTTTGAAAGTCTTGTATCCTGTACTGCAGTAAATATCACATGAGATTTTCCCCTATTTTTATTTTTCCAGTTGCTGAACTTGAATTCGCTGATGAAAGCAATATAAAGGAAAGTGACCTTGATACTATGGAGGAAGAAGATTTGTCAGAATTATCTAACAGAAAAAGTAAGGGTAAATCTCAAAAATCAGCTGTGCAGTTACCTCGAAAATCTCCCCGTTTGTTGGCCCAGGGTAAGAAGCCATAAAGTATTTTTCTGGGTTTTCAAGTTGACTAACCTTTTCATTTAAATCCTTTTTGGGAATTTATTTTTAAGCTAAGTGCAACATCTGTAAAAGTTTCAGTCTAGATAAATGTCCATAATTGTATATTGAACACGCTTGTTAGTATTTTTGCTTTTAGAATTATGCATGTGGAAATCTAAAATAAAAAGAGAGTTCTGGAAATATTCAGATCAGGCAGCAGAGTTACTTTTTCAGATTGATGGCCAATTACTCATGCTCCATCTTCTAGAACTTGCTTAAATTTCTTTTTAAGTCTTCAACATTTTTTTAAAAACACTTCTCACCAATGTTGCATCAATAATTCTTTTTTCTTTCTCTGTACTAGGAGATGTTTGGAGATGATTTTATATAGAGTATTTCTGCAAAGAGGCTTGTTTCTGGCTTATTTGAGCCTTAACAGTAATCTGTTTGTTTTTAATATTCATTCGTGGAATGTAGACATTTAATGCCTATTCCTAGTTGGCTTTGACAAGGTGATAGTGAGCTGCCACCTTGAACCACTGCAGGTAGACACACAATGCCACTGGGGAGGGATTTCCAGGATTTTGACCAAGTGACAGTGAAGGAATGGCAATATATTTCCAAGTTGGAATGGTGAGTGGCTGGATGAGTACTTGCAGATGGTGATGTTTCCATGTATCTGTTTGCCTCCTTCCTTCTAAATAGAAGAGGCCGTGGCTTTGGAAGGTGCTATCTAAGGACCTGTAATGAATTTCTGCAGGGTCTTGTTGATATTGCACATTACTGCTGCTGAGCGTTGTGGTGGAGTGACTGTAAGTTGGTAGATATAGTGCTAGTCAAACAGGCTACTTTAGCCTGGATGGTGTTACTGTAGTTGCTGTATATGGTGAGTCCAATTTAACTTCCGGTCTTTGTTAACCCCAGGATGTTGATAGGGGGGAGTTGGTATTCGTAACGTTATTGAATGTCAATGGGCAGTGGTTAACTGTATCTTACTGGAGATGGTCATTGCCTGACATTTGTGTGGCATGAATGTTGCTTGTGACTTTTCAGCCTAAGCCTCAATATTGTCCAGATACAGTTTCAATATCCGAGGAGTTGTGAATAATGCTAAACGTTGTGCATTACCAGAAAACAGGCCTGCTTCTGACCTTATGATGAAGGGATGTTCATCTGAAGCAGCTGAAGATGGTTGGACCTAGGACACCTACCCTGAGATGACCAATCTCTAACACTCTCAGCCATCTTCCTAGGTATAACTCCAACCATTGGATAGTTTCACCTGATTTCCATTGACTCCAGTTTTGCTAGGGCTCTTTGATATTGCAATTGATCAACTGCGACCTTGATATCAAGGTCAGTCACTCACCTCATGCTGAGAATTCAGCTCTTTAATTCACCTTTGAATCAAGGCTGTAATGAGGTCAAGAGCTGAGTGACTCTGTCAAAACTCAAACTGGGGATTGCTAAGCAGGTTATTTCTGAGTAGGTGCTGCTTCATAGCACTGTTGATGACACTCTCACTGATGATCAAAATTAGACTGATGGGGTGATAATTTGCCAGATGGGATTTGTTCTTTTTTGCGTAGAGGACATACAAGGGCAATTTTCTAAGTCAGTTAGAGGCCGTTATTGTAGCTATGCTGGAATAGCTTGACTAAGTGTGTGGTAAGCCCTCGAGCACATGTCTTCAGTACTATCGCCATGTTGTCAGGGTCCATAGCCTTTGCTGTACCCAGTGGCTCCAGCCATTTCTTGATACCATTTGGAATGAATCAAACTGGCTAAAGACTGGCAGCTGTGATCCTGGGGTCCCCTGAAGAAAGCCAAGATGGATCATCCTCTTGGCACTTACAGTTGAAGATTGTTGCTAATGCTTCAACCTTATCTTTTGCACTGATGTGCTGGGCTCTCTTGTCACTTGAGGATGGGACAATTATGGAACCACCTCCAGAGAGTTGTCTACTTGTCCACCACTGTCCACACTTGGTTGTGACAGGACTGTAGAGCTTGGTTCTGATCCATTGGTTGTGGGATCTTTTAATTCTATCACTTGCTGCTTATGTTATTTGGCATGCATGTGTCCTGTCTGTAGCATCACCAGGTTGACACTTCATTTTTAGATATCCCTGCTACTGCTCCTTGCATGCCCTTCTGCACTTCTTCAATAAACCAGGATTGATTTTCCCCTGGCTTGATGGTTATGGTAGAGTGGGGGGGATATGTTAGGCCATGAGTTTGCAGATTCTGTTAGTGTGTGCTTCTGCTGTTGTAGATGACTCTCAGCACCTGACAAATCCCCAATCTTGAGTTGACAGATCTGTTTAAAGTCTGTCCCATTTATTATGGGAATAGTACGATACAACAAGATCTAAAGTATTGCCAATGTGACGTTGGGACTCTGTCTCCACAGGGTGTGTGGTGGTCCCTCTTAGTAATACTTTGATGGACAGGTGCATCTGTGACAGGCAGATTTGTGAGAATAAGGTCAAGTATGCTTTTCCGTTTGGTTTCCTCACCACTTGTCACAGGCCCATACATTTAGCAATGTACTTTGGAACTTGACTAGCTAGAACAGTGGAACTGTTGCCAAGCCATTCTTGGTGGTGGACATTGAAATCCCCTATCCAGAATATACTCTGCTTTTTTTCTTGCCGGAGTCCATGGTTCCTCTAAGTATTAATCAATGTGGAGGAGCACAGATTCATCACCTGAGATGGAACAGTATGTGTTAGTCAGATGGTTTCCTTGGCCATGTTGACTTGGTTCTATGAGACATATCCAATGATGCTGATGGTAGTGTCTGAGACATTAACAGAGTCCTACCTTACAGATAGTGTGACTATGTCAGGCTGTTGTTTGACTAGTCTGTGAGGCAGCTTTCCCAATTTTGGCACTGTCACCCAGGATTTTGCTTGGTCGATAGGGCTATTTTTGCTAATGTTTTTTTCTGTTGCTGCTGTTAGTGCCGGGTAGTCAATCTTTGTTGAGACTTTGTAGTGATTGTTACAACGGAATGGCTTGCTAGGGCAAATGAGTCAACCACATTGCTGTGGGCCTGAAGTCACATGTAGGCTAGATGAGGGAGCGATGGTAGATTTCCTTCTGAAGGACAATAGTGAGCCAGATTAGTTTTTCCATGGTCATTAGATTCCAGATAATTATTGAATTCAAATTCCACCTTCTGCCATAGTAGGATTCAAACCCAAGTCTCCAGAGCATTACTTGAATTTTTGGATTAATAATCTGGTGGTAATACCACTAGGCCATCACCTCCCCTTTAAAGCAGTGGAATGTGTCTAAATATCAAGTCTTGCCAGGTTTTAGGCAATAGAATTTCAAAATTTAAAAGCAGCCTCTTAACTTTGGGGACAATAAATTTTTAGTAAATTCAGTTATTTTCTCAGCTCTTGAAGTCTATCATTGCTGAAGCTGAACGTGTTTTTGTTTAGCATCCAGATGCCTAATTTTAGTTGCCTTGCTAGAAATGAGAATCCCAGCCAATTCTACTTCCTGTTTGTAATATAAGAGCTTTAAGGTCATTGCAACATTTCTATCTGCTGACATCAACTAATTAAGTGCACAATGATTATCAAAATTTTGAGTCCCTTATAGACTGTGCAGCTCTTCTATTCAGTGTATGAACTTGGCTTATTGGGAGAATCCACAAATGCAAATGTGTATGTTAGAACAATATTAAATTCATTTTTGTGGTACTGTTTTAGTTAAACAATTAAATTGACTGATATTAAGCACTTCAGTGTCTCTTTTATAGTTGGGGGTTTACAATGAAATTCTGGTATGGTTATTTTAAAGCTCAAAATTTTCAAGGTGTAAGATTGATTTTAAAGTAACTGTTATAGTCATAGAGTACAGTTGACTTGCAGACCAAAAAAAGTCTTTTCAGAATAGCAAAATTTGAAGCTTCTAATTCTATTGTGAATCATAGAATCCCTACAGTGTGGAAACAGGCCTTTCGGCCCAACAAGTCCACGTCGAACCTCAGAGCATCCCACCCAGACCCATCCCCCTGTAACCCACCCAATCTACACCTCCCTGAACACTATCGGCAATTTAGCATGGCCAATCAACCTAACCTGCACATCTTTGGACTGTGGGAGGAAACTGGAGCACCCGGAGGAAACCCATGCAGACACTAGGAGAATGTGCAAACTCCACACAGACAGTCGCCCAAGGCTGGAATCAGGCCCAAGGCTGGAATCAGACCCAAGTCCCTTGCGCTGTGAGGCAGCAGCGCTAACCACTGTGCCACCCTGCCGCCCTTTGGAACTGCTTTGCTTTGAGCAGAATAAATCTAATTTCAATTAATTGATTTAATTGAAAATGTAATTTAAGATTTCTTGAGCAAATTCATAAGTTCTGAAGTAAAATATAGTAACATTTAATTTGATAATATCTTGAGACAGTATTTAAATAAAGTTTGCTCATTATGTCTATTTATCCAGTTATAAACTGACTTCCTGTGCTGTAAGAGTAAATTTTTAAAAAAATATTATAGGAACTTCACATTTGTAACATTTTGGAACACCAGTGCTAGGTATTTTAAACTGAAATGCGAGGGTTTTACATGGTCAAAATTATGACTAATGCTTCTTCCTTTCTTTTAAAGAACCAATTCGAAGTCTGCGCAACAGTACCTTAGCCAAGCGACCCAATCCAGCAAACGTAGCTCTTGCAAAAAGGAAAGAGCAGGTAAAATATGTCTCAGCTGGCGCAGGTTCAACAAAGCTGCCAGATCGGCATGAAAAACAAAGCCCGCAAAAACTTGGAGGAAAAAGTAAACTACAGCAGCAGAGTATACCAGCAAGTCCACAAAGTACTGCGGAAACTCCTTGTGATACTGTACAGTCTGAACCTGCAAATTCAAACAACCCTGAACTGAGATTGGAAACTTGCGTTACACCCAAAACTACACTTGAAGTATTTTGTGGAAACAATAACCATAATGTGGTAGAATCATTGGGACAGAAAGCAGTTGAGACTGCATCAGAGCCACAGTGCTCTAGAGTGCCATCAATTGCTTTAGGGACAGAAAAAAACCCTCCAAATGCAATAACAGAGAATACAAACGATAACAGTTGTGCAGAGGCACGGCCAGTTGCATCAGTCAGCCAA